ATTTACAATGATTTTGATTTTTTCAATAAAGAAAAATTCTGTTTATAAGAGCCCCTTGTAGTTTTTATCAACCTCTTTCCTCAGTCACCTGATAAATTATAAGATTCCCTGGTATTTAATTTAACTGAATTCTAACTATGATTTCAAAATGAAACTTATATTCTTGCCCAGTACTTTTGAACATACTTTTTTGATTAATTTTTATTCAAGCTGGACCATTTTAATATATGGAAAGATCAATAAAACGTTTCACGAGGGCTTAATTGAAAGATATATCTATGTTTTGTTTCACTTCAAATCTATAAATTATACTTAATTTTGCCTCAAATCTATGAATCATATCTTGCCAATCCTATTTGCATGACTATATGCACATTTTTAATTGCTTATTATATTTCATTGTGTCTACTGTTATGATGTTAAATAATAGTACATCCAGTTAGCAGCTGGAACATTCACAGTTCAAATCCTAGTGAGAGCATACTATCTACTTTTTCACGTATACTGTTTTGAAAATCTTAATTAAGTCTTTAAAGTAGTGCTAAAACTAAAAATGTGATGGGCAATAATTCTTCATTGTATGGTTTTTGTTGATTCGGTCCAGTTACCTTTTAAGTGGGAAAGAGTGTGAGAAAGTATCACATTTTCCTATGTGTGTGTCATAGTATGAGTCGCAGCAATCCAAAAAGCAGATGGAAAATCTGTAGTTTGAATCCTTAAAGCATAGCAGCTCTTTCATGTTTCCTACTCTGAATAATAAATTTAAATATGAATATTATTAATGATTATTAATAGTTACTCTAATTATTAATGTATTTTTAGTATGTTGAAATGCACTTTGGTAAGTAAAAGCTTTCAATGTAAAAATTGTAAAAAAAAAACTTAGAAAATGGTATGAAATTATTAAAAAATGTATGTTAAAGTTGTTTTGAATAGTGAATAAATTATTGCATTTTATGTCAAAAATTAAGTTATAGCCAATTTAATGATTCAAAATTTGCAATACTGAAGTTATTTTAAGTCAGATTTTTATGTTTTGAATTCTTTTTAAATTACATCATGCAGAATGACTTTGTGATTTTTCATATTTCAAAGTTGGCAGCTATGATAAGAGTGGTACTGTATCATTTGGTCTCAAAATGTTTGGAATTATTTCATATAAGTGATATCAATGAATTTAAATGAGTTCTATTTGTATGGTTTAAAATTTCAAATTCACTTGTTTTTCTCTTGCATGCATAGTCAAAATAGTTAATTTGTTCTCTTATATGATTTTACACAAGATAACCACAGTATACATTCAATTCCTTAATTTTTATTATATAATTCTTTTCTTTTTTAAAAAAAAATTTAAAAATTTCTGTAAAATTTTAAATGTGAGAAGAATGAGAAAGGGTTTCAAGAGATATTCCGCACTCGAATCACCAATTGATAACAAGTAACTCGTTTATAAATTCATTCTGTATCCCATGCTATATTATGCTTGCACGCTGTAGGCATATCCATACTGAACTAATCAAAAAGCTCTGGAGATTGCACAGAACTGTGTTTCGTGACAGATTGTAAACATTCCATGATAAAAAATAATAGGATTCATGAAGAATTAAATATTGTACAACTGCATACCTTTTGTCATTACCTGGTTCAAAAATTGTCACAGCAGTCAATGCATTATTAGCAATGCAGAAATTTTACAATTATGATGTCAGTGATTCTAAGCAAGACGCCTAAATATATTTTAAGAGATCACTATCGGCACCTAATTACTGTATTTAAAATTAACCAATTACAGATTAGCTGTACTTATGCATCATACTTAGTATAAATTATCCTAGCAAAACAACTGCATCATTCCTTCCCTAGCTTCCACCCTGCAAAGACCTCTGCGCTGCTTATGCTGTCCTGTCCAAAATGCTTGTGTCATACTTTTAAAACCCATGTACATAGAAATCATTATGTCCTCAGTATGATTAAAAAATATATATTGTTTGCAAAAGGATGATTTTTTTATATGTGCAAAAATAAAGATTGGTGATTTGTCGAAATCCAGTTTTATTATCTTCATCAGTATGCGTTCAACCCTCAGTCATGATGGATATTGAAAGCTGTTTAAGGTTCCAGTGTTTTCTTCTACGCATTAAATTATGACATATATATAGTGTAATTTAGCACCATATAATCACATTGTCTGTTTAGTTTATTTATTGTTTAACATCATTATGAATAATTTAAATACAAGTTATTTTGGGTACTATTCGTTTTTAAGGGCCGTAAAAAATCGCCAAACTATAGTTGATGCCAGTGGCTGCCAAAAATAATTGCGGCAACCCTAATGCAAGAAAGGAAGTATGATAGTAAACAACTATCTAAGATTGATGTTTTAATTTAGATGAAAGGTGTATTTCATATACAGTCACAAGTCGTTAATTTGGGCACCCATAATCCGGACCTCAAACATTCGACGCATGCGCAGAAAGACCTTTACGGGCGCGTAAGACTTTTACGGCTGCGAATATGCGTGTGCGCATGCGCGTTTAATGTATAATGGACGGTATAAGCTAAGCTAAAATTATCTAATTTAGTTAATGTTGCAGATTGCATTGTTCCTTAATCTTCGAATTGGATCCGGCTTATTCTCGTATTTTTGCAGCTGTGAGCAGTTTTATAAAATAAGCTTGAACTTTCGATTATGTCATAGAATTTCTGATATATTTACTATTATGTAAAGGCTACAAAGCGAGTATGTTTTCGAAATCCAAAATCTGTTTATCATTCACGCTGCTCTGCGGCGGAGGGGGGAGGACCCACGGGGCGCGCTAAATGAAGTTGATCTGTCCACTATCCTTATCTTCAGGGCAGGGTTTTTTATTTTATTTGGCTTATATTCCTTACTACATGTAGTATTTCTCTCGATGTACTCCGGCTTTTGATTTAAATTAAATTCCTCGTCATTATAAGTTTCTTCCGATAGTGAAGAAAGTGACACAGAGTTATTGAAAACGAAAAAATTTCGATTGACAAAAACGAGCAACTTAAACAACTTAATTGAGAAATTTTTAATAAAGTAAACAAATATTAAGTTTTTTTTTGTAAATTTTTATACCTTTAGATCATAATTGTTCTTTATTTCATAATTACGGTTTCATATTTTTATTTTATAATTCTGCATTCCATCTTACCAGATTTAAATTGATGATCTATAGTCCGGAAAAATCGATAATCTGGAATCGCCGAAGTCCCGACGAGTCCGGATTAACGACTTTTGACTGTAATACTTTATTATTATTATAATTTATATAAAAATTCCTAAACATAACTGAATTGATGCCTGGATTGCTATTTCGCTACCAAGTTATTGCTAAAGCATAAATTCATCTCGTTGGTTGTTCAAACATAATTTTCTATAATGAATGATGCCTTTTTTTTTGAAAAAATTCTCCCTAAAGTGTAGAATCGCCAACTTATTTGTTTGCCGCTTTTTACAAGGGTGCAGGGGCGTAGCCAGAGTTTCCAGCGCCCGGGGACAACTGAAGAATTTGCGCCCCTTTCTGTGTGCCAAGAATGGAAAATTTTCATAAAAATTCGTAGCGTCAATTTGGCGCCCCGTGGATGCTGCGCCCGGGGACACATGTTCCCCCTTGCCTCACCCTAGCTACGCCACTGCAAGGGTGAAAACAATTCGATTTTTGTCAATTTTCTTTTTACATTTTAAGTGAAAGTTGGTTGATGTGTATATTGATAAAGTCAAGGGTGTGCGCAGTGCCATTTTTGTGCAATTCTGGGATTTTTTTTTTTTAAGTAAAAATAGATCGATGTGTACGTGGATACTGAGTATGTGCAATTCTTAAAAACGCGTCAAGCAGTGGGTGATTCTGCACTTTACCCAAAATTCTATTGCAGACTTTTTTTCATGTTCAATTCCCAAATTGTTAAATCCATAGGATATCAAAAAAGGATTTAAAAGTTAAACCAGTATTTCAATGGCGTCTTAAGAAATATAGGACTATATAAACTTACACAATCTGAAATCAGCGTGCACGCTCACACTGTTAAATGGGCACGTTTGCTAGATTTGGCACTTTTGCGCATACATTTTCGCTGCAATTTTTTTGCGGCCTCAAAACAGAATAGCACCTTATTTTGCTATAAATATTCAAAGAGAATATTTATTTGGTAGGGGTAGGGCCTTTTTTTGTTGGTACCTTGGTGCTACACTGTTTGACCTGTCATGTAAAACAAGAAATATAATTTTGTGATAAAATTTCATTTAACAGCATAATAATGAGTATAATGTTTGGACAAAATTAAATAAATTTAATATTAAATATAAATTTAATTAAAATTTGGAAAAAATTAAGGATTTATTTTGGAAATTTCAGATAGTATATTAAATCTGCATAAAGTAATATAAATGCTTAATGAATGAAAGATTAAGAATAACTGTAATTATGGAAGTACATTTTCTAATTCTGTTATCACTGTTGGTGCTAGTCACTAGATGGCACCAACAGCGAATCAGAATATTGGTTTTAATCAGAATATTGATGAAAAGCAGTTTATTAACAATAATGAATAAAATTAAAAGTACTTCTTTCAAGTAAAAATTATATTTCATGTTACATTCAGAGGCTTTTTTCAAATATTCAGCTGCGCTAAAGAGTTGAAATGCAGTAAGAAATTATTTTAATCTGTATTGCCATTTTGCTAAGTGATTTAATGTAATAAAATATTTATTTAATAATCATTAAATGTGTAAGAAACAGTTTATACCCTATTGTTTTTTTAAAAACATTTCTAAATATCGAAATGAATAATATAACTAAATTTTGTAATTTCCGTTATTATTTGAATGATTCGTTGAACATAATTTTATTTGTTTAAGAAGTAAGAAATGCCTCTTGTTTTGATTATGCCTTTTTTAAGTTTATTTATGCGTAATAATTAATTTCGATTCTTATATTATTACTTCCTAATTTCTGTAAATTTCGCTATCCAAAATGGCAACGGCAACGCAGCGTTCACTAAATTGCCGCTAGTGAAGAAGACAACGTAAAATCAGTTTTTCGCGAAGTAAGTCAACTATATTTAATGTAATCTGCTCTATTATTGCACTAATCGTATTAATTTAGTCAGTTTTTAACCATAAGTGTGTTATTAAGGACAAACTGAAAGAGAAAAGTTGCCGCGTTATCGATGGAGCCGAATAGTAATGACAACATGGCGGAACAAGATGCGCTTGAAGGTACTAATTTTCTGTATCGTACAATGGTTGTGAGAGATCCAAGCAAACGCAAAGTGAAACCCGTTGAAAATCACATGCAGTTACTAGATTTTGGCGACTTAGATGATAGTTCCGATGATAGTGATTTCGAAATAGGAGATGATGGTCGGGAGACAAATGAAGAATCAGGAGAGAGTTCAGCCGGTAACGATGACAATAGTGAAGAAGAAGGAGAAGAGGAAGATGGAGAGCAGGAAACTGAAGACAATAAAGATACTGTCAACATAAAAACAGAACCAACTACAAATGAACTAGCTCCACCGACTGCTGAAACTAATGAAAACGTACAAAGGCAGTTAAAACCTAAACTGGATGAAATTCCGACCAAAAAACTGAAGGTTTTAATATGTAGTGTATGTCTGGGCGATGTGAGTTTATTGCCTAGACAGGGCTCAGAGAAAATGATGAACGATGAAGAAGATGAAATCGTAGAATGCGATTGTTGTGGTATTTCTGTGCATGAAGGCTGCTATGGGATTAGCGATGCCGAAACTGCTGTGACCACAGACTCATTATATTCCACTGAACCATGGTTCTGTGATGCTTGTAAAGCAGGTAATATGAATCCTGCCTGTGAACTTTGCCCTAACACTGGTGGAATATTTAAAGAAACTGATGTTGGTAAATGGGTTCATCTGGTTTGTGCTTTGTATATCCCCGGTGTAGCTTTCGGTGATGTTGATAAACTGTCTCCTGTAACTCTGTTTGAAATGCCGTACTCACGTTGGGGGGCCAAAGCTTGTTTTTTATGTGAAGATGATCGGTTTAGTCGCACAGGTGTATGTATTAATTGTGATGCTGGAATGTGCCGAAATTACTTTCATGTTACGTGTGCCCAGAAAGAGGGATTATTATCCAAAGCCTCCACTGAGGAAGATATTGCAGATCCTTTTTTTGCATATTGTAAACTGCATTCTGATAAAAACATTTCCAGGAGTAAACGTCGTAATTATTTAGCCCTTCAGTCTCAGGCAAAAGAGAAACATTTTTCGGATTCTGTTCCTTCAGAGGAAAAGTCTAGAATAGAAAGGAAACTTGCTTTTCATCGAGATCTGTATGTGACTGATAAAGAGAAAAGGCCTCAGCCATGGGTTCCTACACAAAAGATGCCCAGATTGTTGACAACTAGTCCATCTGCATGTAAAAAATTGATAAAGAAAGCAGAACTTCTTGGTTTAAGTCCTCAAATACATTTAAGCGGTGTTGATTTTGGAATGGATATAAGACGTAAGTGGCATGTCCCTCCAGCTTTCAGTGCTGAATTCGTATCGTATTATTTAGATAGAAATGTTCGAATGGTATCAATGCAGCGCAGACTTGATGAACTGTTGCAGCAGAATAGTCAGTTGCAGGAACAAGAACAAGGGTTGCGGCAAAATTACGAGAGATTAGTTGCAGAAGTAGACATGGTACGTAAAGAAAATGCGGAACTGACAGAAAGAGGTATGCAATACTGGAAAATATTGTGTGATTTAAGCAATAAAAAGTATCCCGTGCCAGATGTGCTTCAACCGAAACCAATTTTAAAATCTAATAAAAATAAAAAATCCGATTCTTCTGGGTCTGTAATTATGGAATGCAGTATTTGTCATAAATCTCATGATCAACATCAGCTTGCTAAATGTGACAGTTGTCAATTGCATTATCACTTAGCTTGTTTGGACCCTCCTCTTTCTCGTATGCCAAAGAAGACAAAATCTCTTGGTTGGCAGTGTAGTGAATGTGATAAAACAGAAGAAGAAGAGCAACATGAGGATGTTGATGCCAATGCTCCACGAAAGTTACGCTATCAAGGCAAGGAAATATTGAAATCTGACCAGGAAAAGCCACGTAGAGGGAGGTCATGCAAAAAGACATCGGACGACAACATTGGATCTGAAGAGAAAGGCGGGGAGATCTGGATATCGTCCGGTGCAGAGGATGACCACTTGCACGATGGTTCTCGTCCCCGGTCTGACTCGCGGAGAAAGCGTCGATCTGCGGAGATTGGTTATCGAAAATCCAGACGTAGAAGTGGTAAGCGCAAAATTTCGCGCGAAAATTGGGGAGAAGAGGGAGATCCTGCAGCCAGTGAAGGAACAGAAGTAAAAACACCAAGACATTCTACCAGACGCACATCGTCTACTTAATACATTATTCATTAGTGCTGAGTTTAACATCAACCTAAAACTTCATTTAGTGTGAGTTGCTCCCATTCTAATGTAATTAAAATAAATATTAGGATATTATTTTCCATTCTTGTACATTTGATATATGAATATATTAAATTTTTTTATTTGTTAATATGAGGAGAGCATCTTGACTTGAGAAATTTGATTTTATACTGTACTGCAAAGAAGATAGTACAAATTTTGTAGTGATTTAGAAAAGAACTCTAAACATGATATTTTTTGTTTGGTAATGTTTTGTTAGTAGTTCATTTTCAATAATATATTTAAAGAATTTTGAAGCAGTATGTTAATTAGTTAGCTTTGGTATAATAAATATTTCTGTTAATTAGGTGCATTTTTATTTTGTGGTCTTACTTTTAATTGATGATACAGAATTTTTGTTTAATACAATATCAAAATTTAAAAATTGTTTTTTAATTTCTTTTATGCCAAAGAAATTAGCTCACAAAAAATATTTTTTTTTTTATAATTGAAGCAAAGGTGCGAAATTTTTAGAAGGCACTACTGTAAATTTTCTCTTATTATATAATGTATTTCCCAAAAATTAACATAGATGTTTATTAAGATTGAATAATAATATTTGTATAAGTGAATTTTAAGTCTGCCAGGTTTCTGTTATTACATGAGTGTGTAATATAATAAAAAAAATTAATTAATTTTAATGTCAGATATTTTTACATTTGGAGATAGCTGTATTAGTTCAAGAAGAAAAAATTGAACTATTAGAAATGTAAATGTGCAAATTTTCATATATCCCTAAATTTTAAGTAAGATGAGTTCTTTATTATGTGATTTTTAAGATTTCTGCAGTTCCCTCCTCTCTTGTTTATATGTAGTTATTTGAGTGCATTTTTTGACTGAAAATTGTCAGTTGGATGTTAATACAGAAAAAGTGTGTCTTGAGAAAAGACCCAAGTATTTCAAGGGGATGTTTGAAGAGTACTTCTGATTTTAACTAGAAAACAGTGCTAAGTAGAAAATTTAGCATACATCATTTTAATTTAGTGCATCTTATATTTGATAATCTTTTAAAACTTAAATTTTTAATTGCTTTATAAAGAATTTTATGATATATGAAAACTTAGGTGGCTATGTAACTAGATAAAACATTAGCGAGAGCAGTGCATAAATATTGCATAATGGTATTATGTATTATCATATAATGCTGAAAAATGGCAGAGGAGTATCTTTGTTCTAAGAAGTATTTTATTCTTAGAGATTTATTTGGCCTGGCAATCTTTCAGTTATTCAGAGTACAATTTGGTGTTGTTTTTTTTTATTCTACTATATAGGCTTTAGATCAGTTGTTCCCATTAGGATGCACTTTGGGGCATGTTCGATTATTGTTTATATTTTATGACACCCTTAACAACCATTCATTCTATATGGTTAAAACATCATTGCATCCCCTGAATGTTTTCGTATTAAGAAGGTGTGGGCTCCTGTAGGATGAGAACTTGCGCATTATAAGCTGAACTGAGGTACAAGTCTTAATTTTCAGGTTATTATTTTATATTATGTTTCAATGTTTGCTGCATATTATGCATGATTCCTGTCACTTGGTATTAAAATTACATTCTATTTGTTCTCTTATCTTATTATCAGGTACGATATTTTTCTCATATCTTGTGCCCATCAATCTTAGGTTTTTACATTACATCTACTGTACATTCAATATGAAGTGCATGTGTCATTTGTTGTCATTACTAAAAAATTTTTTGTACATATTTATAGTAGCTTTGAGTGTGTGGAGCAAACAGGATTGAAATTTGATATGTTTGAAAGTCTGTGAACTTAAATGTACTCAGTACGTGCAAAATTTTTAGTTGATCCATTCAGCTGATGTTTGTAAAGTTTTGTTACACACATTCAAACTTTTATTTTTAGTGGATGAGTTGGATTAGTTGATTGGTTATTGGTGAATCTGGAATCTTGCTTTCTCAGAAATGTTCTGATCCTGTTATTTGCACTGCTGTTCTTTTGCCATCCAAATGAAGTTAAAGTAATCAGTAATGCTTACTAGCATATTTCAGTTACATTGTATTGTCCAGTAAATTCAGATATATACCATTTAACCACCAAAGAGAGACTTGCTATGTTTGATTTCCATCATATATACGGAAGGAAATTGCATTTCTGCAGGTCTAATACGATTTAGATATTGGGTTAGGTTAAGTTATTTGGTTATAGCAAAGCACTGCAGCCTTTGTATGCTGTGCCTGTTTAGATATTGGGAAGACACTATTATGAGCAATTTGCGGCGATTATTCATTTTTGGTCAACACAGAAATGACACATTTCTACAGAATTATCAACCTTTTTATATATATGAACACATTATTTTTATCTATCTGCAGAAGCATGTAAGGGATTATTTGTAGTCTAGTCGGACAATTAGAGATGGATGCTTGCAAACTGATTCAAAGAAACAATTCACTTTATTGAGCAAGTGAATGGTGATTAGCTAAAACGGAGCACTAGTTTCTGTAGAGTTCACCCAACAAGAGCTCTTGTTGGAAGCATGCCAGGGAAATGTTTGAATTTTAATGAATATTATTTTATTCCAGAATTTTACTGTTAGTTCTACGTAGAAGGAAGGGTTGAAAGAAATCGGTCTAGGCAATTAATGGTCTGATTGAGTTGGTTCTGATCCTACTTCTCGTTCAATTCCCTCCCTTTTCGAACCAACCGTTCTTGATTCATTCCCATTTTTCAGTCATATTCATCAAGGTTATTATTAATGAGCACGAGTTGTAAAAAAGAACTGAATCAGCTCAATTAGCTAACAATTCTTATCAGAAGGTATATTTTGCCCACCTCTATTGACAATATCACTGTTTGCATACATTTGCAGTTCCTTGAACAACAGTGGATGTTCTATGAATTACTAGTATGTAGTGAGCTGCAGAAGAAAAGTGCATTTCACTCTCAGTTTTGAATTGAAGTTCTAATTTATGCTTTTATGTAAGTTAATTAGATTATAACTTCAAGAATTCATAGTAAAGTCATTAAAACACCCTTCATTCATGTGGGCAATTGCTGTAAAAATTGGAAAGGGGTAAATGTTCAAAATGCCCTTCAGCTTGAATTTTGTAATGATGTATTAAAAAGTTTAATCTAAAATGGTTATTAATGGAATTTGGCAAAAAGAAATTGTTGAATTACGCTTTATGTTTATGTAGCAAGGCTGTTCTTGATGTGTAGTAGTTAGAATCATATATAAGTTGAAGTTGTATACTATATATATTTTCAAAAGCTTATGTAGAAAGAATGCTTCTTTCATCTTGCATAAGTGCTGCTCTTAAAATTTATTGGTTGTTATGTGTGTCATGAGAAATAGTTTGATACAGTTTTGTAAAAAAGTTATTGCCGTCTTTTGAAATTCATTGCTGCACATGTGTTCGGTGTAGTACTATTTATGTTTTGTGCGTGTGTGCATGCTTATGTCAGAGTATTTCAGTTTTGCTTCATGAAGAAGTAATGTATAAAAGGGAAAAGTTCTTTAAATAAATGCTTCCATACTTTCTAGTAATTTTTTTTTTTTTTTTTTTTTTGCCTGTTTTAAACTGTACATATGAGCATTTCTTTGATTAATTTTTCATAAGTATGTAGGTTTGAATTCTGTTGTGTTAGTTGGTCTAAAATACTTCTGTTTAAAATATAATTTTGTTGGGCAGAATTAGTGAAGTCATTGAATATAGTTCTGTTGCAATTTAGTACATATGGTGATCAGTAGGCATATCGTTTGTATGAAATAATGTGCATGTTAAATTTGTACATTAATAGTACTTCTCATTTATTATTTTTCATTTCATTAAAGTACATTATCTTTTATTTTGAAATACCTTTGAAATTGTGTAATATAGTTTATTTAAAATAGATAGTATTGATATACCATCATTGTATTATGCTAATTACAAATAAAATCTTGTCTGATTATATTATATACTGTGTTACTACAACAAACTGAAACATTGACACAGAATTTTTCATAAAAATCTGCTTGAAAAAAAGTGAATAATATTTTTATTTAGAATGTTTCATGCTGTATAGCAGTGAATGAAGATTTTTGGTACTTTTAGACTATTGTGGCCGTGGCGAGAAATAGAAATTGGCACATTTTATGATCGATGAGAAAAAGGATAGTTACCGATACACATAAGCAATTTTTTTAATGTCTTGCATTACCTGTCTGCACATATACATGTAGTTTATGTTTCACACATGGATCCAGTTATAATCTTCAGTTAGTGAAAAATTTCACTGTTTTTTTGTTGCTAAATAATATGCTTACTATTTTCAAATTTCCTGTTTATGGAGATGGAGAAAGAAAAATCATAGAGGTAGAGCTTGCATCATCTGCAGTCGCCTAATACAATTTATAATCTGGCATCACATTGGCTGTAATAATATGATGCAGTATAAGCAGCAGTTGCTGAACTGTGGTCACAGGAAGTATATCTAAAGTGAATTTTGGGTATATTTCTACGTGTTGTTTATTTGAATAAAATACAAATTAATGAAATAATGAATACAAATTTGCATTAAATTGTTTCTGAATGTGTATGTTAAATAGTGTTCTGTAAACATTGAATAAAATGCTTGTGTGTTAGAATTGCCACTAAAAATTGAAGAAGCAAGATGACAAGATTTTTCTGAAGCCAGTGTGAGATAAAAGACAATAATAGCAGCCTAAAAAATTTGAAGCACAAGGATAAATTTATTTCAAAGAATTATTATTCCCTCCCTTCTTTTGCTTGTTTGTCATAGTGAAACTACCCTAACAGACCTTATAGTTGCAAACAAATTCTATCTTATGCAAAGGTGCCTTAAAGAATATAAACTATGAGTGATATTCAGTAATAGTGTTTATGTTCTCAGAAATGCTGTTCGTTTTTAAGTTGTGGTCATGAGACATTTTGCTATATATTATTGAAATATGCTGATTTGTACTTTTTGTTGAGAAGAAATTTTATTTATGTAGATATTTTCTAAATAAATATCAGCAGTGGTTAATTTAATTCTTTCTCTATTATGTAAAAAGTGTTCTGTAATATAATATTTTTGTGCAAAATGAAGTATACAATGTCTACTAGAAAACTGTTCATTGGAAAGGTGAAAGAAAATAATACATTTTTCATGCTTTTAATAATTGTATAATGTAATTTATGTATGACCTCTTGCTAGCATGATGGTAATTTGCATACATCATTGTTGAGAAATATCTTGTCCTTAGTGACGAAGAACTCAAGTAGTGCTTACTGATCTCTGCTTTATTTTTGAATTTTTTTCCCTTCAAAAAATTTTGCAGGGAGAGAAAAGTGGCAATAAGTTGCTAGGTCTATTGAGTATAGTGGCTGAGACAGAATTTACGCCAAAGCAGCATAAAAAGTGGCATTATTGTGATGCAGTATGATGTGCTTTCTATTGAATATCACCTGCCTATTTTCTTTGGCTGCTTTTAATCATCCATTTGCTGACAATATTTTTCTGAATTGAACTTTTTATTAGGTTTAGAAAGGTTGCAATTTATTGGTCCGTAGGCATTCTCTTATTGAGGCTCAAATTGGCTTAGATAGGGAGGTGGCAGGTTCTAATATAGTAATATTACAACCAGGAGCATGAGTAAAAACAGGAAATGAACATATGAGTGGTATGAAAGATGGACTTAATAATTAGAATGTATTAAAAAAGTTTTCAAACCTCAAAAATATATAATTTTTTCTATAGAATTGTTTCACAAGAATATAGTAAAGTTAAATTTAAATAATTCTCTTGTTCCATTGCTGCAATAATTAATTTTTTATTTTTGCAATTAAAATTTTTTTAATTTATATTAGCATTATACGAATAGAGAATATTTGTTAAATTATAATTTTTTCTATAGATGCCTAAATTAAACCACTGTAATTCAAAAGATATGTTCGATAAATTATTTTTTGTATACCAAAGAGATTTTGATCAAATGCACCTTTATACAAGATTTTTTTAAATGTTAAACATTTGGAAGGAATGGATGTAGTTTTCCCATATGAATAAAATAGAAAAACCTGGCATATAAGTTAAAGTCATTGAAAGAACAGATTGATGAAAATATAATACTCTGTAATAGTTACGAAAAATTACTAGCTAAATATTAATATTAATGCTAGGCAATCAGTGCAAACTTATAAAAAATCATTAACAAATTTTACAGTTACATTAATTGTTGAAGAAACTAGAATTGAAGCACATAATACAATGCAAATTTAATTGTATTTAATGCTAAATGGATAGAAAAACTGTTTTAATTATAGAAGTACTGGCCATATTTCTCATTTTTGTAATGAAACAAAATCAACTGAGAAGATGTATTTCAAATGTAACAAACATTTAGCCAGTTCTTAGAGAAAAGAAATATCTCAAAACAAACAGTTTATTAAACTATGTAAAAAAATAAATCGTAATAAAAACTTGTTTTTGTGTGCAAAGATAAAAGTTATGATCAATGGGTATCGTTAAGTGTAAATGAAACAAAATAATGATACATAGCATGTTTTTTAAGGAAAAGCCGTTTTGTTGTATATACTAATCTGCCGCATGAGCAGCAACAAGTGCTTGCATCATGTCCCAGCATTCCTTGAAAATAACTGTGCTTAGTTGCGGCTGTGTAGGTAACCTGTATGGTCTGTTCTGTGTTTTTAAAGTATTCAAGATTATCATCTCGCTGTCCCTGTGCAAAGTATGGTCAGCGATGTTTTTTTGTTGGCAAGAAACCTGCCTACTGCAGACATTCATTGGCAGATTTGGGATTTCACTGGCACTTGAGTGAAGGCAAAGTGCAGAAGTGGGTCAGAAACTTCAAAGCTGACCGTGACTATCTCCATGATGAATCCTGCTCCAGTCGCCCATTTGTGATCACAGACCCCATTTGTGATCACAGACCATATGATGGTTTTAGTTGAAGCAACAATTTTTGAGAGCAGACACTTCACCATAAGCACTCTCTCAAACCAATTTCCTGAAGTGTCTAGTCTAGGATGTGAAAATGGCCGTGACCTCTTGGCTATCAGAACAAGTGGCTAGTTTCTGTGAAGAGGGTATTCAAAATCTAGTTCTAGGGTATGATACGTAATAAACTTTTCAATTATGTTGAAAAATAGAGAAGCATATGTAGAATCTGAAAACAAATTTGGTTTTTGAAAATTTTCTTTTCTTTGGTTTTGATTTTCAAATGGCCCTTACTTAAAAAATACTCCTTGTTGTATAAGCAGAACAATAGGTCGATTTAGATTTGTCATCACGCATGGTTAATATTGAAGAACTTTTAACAGATTTGAAAAATATTTTATTGAAATTTTTATAGCTTAATGTTTTGATCTATTATTTAGAAAATAGGTGCAATGGAAACTAATAGTATATGTATTTTGAATAATGCCTTATGTTCATACATACACCATCATTATTTTGATAATAAAGTAGAAATGAAAAAAGGAGGTATGAAGATAGGTAGACATGAAAATGGTTTGTTATAGTTCTTGAGAAGATAATGATTAGAAGCTATTGAAGAAGAAAGAAAATTCTTTAATTAATAACAAAATCTGGAAAGTTGTGAATGAAAATGAGAGGGAAAATAAATTGTTAAGCAGTAAATGGGTTTCTGATTGCGAAGAAGATGGTCAATTTAGACTTGTTGCAAGATGGTTTCAACCAGAAGGAAAAAAAAAATGATTTTTTAAGAACTACAGTCCTTGATACCCTTTAAGATCATAATTGTTCTTTATTTCATAAATTACGGCTTCATATTTTTAGTTTTATAATTTCTGCATGCCATCTTACCAGATTTAAAGTGATCATCTATAATCCGGAAAAATCGATAATCTGTAATCGAAGTCCCGATGAGTCTGGATTAAAGACTTTTGACTGTATTAAGTTAAATGCTTTTATGCGTGTTTAGGAGTTGAATCGCACTTCGTGACCGTGAAGTTGTACCATATTTTGTAATTGACAGAGTTTGATCATTTAACAAGAGAGACAGCAGATATTTTAACCCAAAATATTAAATAATTTTCTGAGTTTGCAAGCATTGAATACAAAAACTGTGTTATACAGAAGCATAAAATTTTTAAAACTCTTTATTTGCCGTAGATTCTGTACCAGCAACCGAGCAGTAATGTTATTGAATGTTGGTACTTTGATGACAAATTTAATTTCTGTGGGAAAGTTTTTTTCCCCCATCTTTTTATTTTCTTTTCAAAGAATTTTTTAATATTACCCTTACTTTATACAGAAGCATAAAATTTTTAAAACTCTTACTTGCTGTAGATTCTGTACCAGCAACCGAGCAGTAATGTTATTGAATGTTGGTAATTTGACAACAAATTTAATTTCTGTGGGAAAGTTTTTTTCCCCGTCTTTTTATTTTCTTTTCAAAGAATTTTTTAATATTACCCTTACTTTTTCAGGGCGTCAGAGTATTAAAAAAATGATATCAGAAGCGAAAAAGAAACTTTCAGCTACAGAAGTAGCTTTTAAAGCACAAGTAATTGATGAATTCCTTAAAATGATAAGAATGACATAACTTTTATAAAGAATGTTGATTTTTTTAATGGTATAAAGAAAATGAATAAATATTTAATTTTCCTTCAGTTTCTGTGAATTACTTCATTTTGCTGTTAATTAATATATATGCACTCCAAATAATTTTATTTTGATAAGTTGTTTCTTTTAAATGAGTAGAATCTGAGTTTTTTTTTTTTTTTTTTTTTTGCAAAGTGCCTTTTTTTTATACCAATGTTTATAATTAATGTTGAACTAAAAAAATTGCTAAATAAATTAAAATCTTTGGGATTGATTCTAGGTAATTTTTAATTGCTGAAATATTTTTTGTACTGTATTTATGCATTAATATTTCCACCTTTTCCTGCTAATTTTACTGCTTGAAAAAATGGCAGAGGAAA